GCCACTCTCCAGGCCCAGCCTGCGGAGGGTCTCCCGCCGCTCCATGGTGCCCCCCAGATGCTTGGACTCCAGGCAGACCCCCGCCGGCCTCTTCTCAGACGCCCCTCCAGGGAACTTTTTCTCCAGGCTACCCCCTGGGTACACGTCCAGGTTCCCCCCTGCGGGAACAGGATCCACTCCCAGGCCTGGAAGAGAGGAGAGACAAGCCCAGTGCTCGGAAAGCTCCCCCCCCCCAGTGGCATGAGGAGATGCTGCCTCCCCCACCGGGCGCGGCTTGGTACCCACTTTGTTCCCTGCCTGTCTTGCATCCGACCCTGGGACCTACGAGGTGACTCTCCTCCTTCCCCACACCCCCTGGCATCTGGAAGTCAGCCTGGGCCCCCATAAAGGGACGCTAAAGCAATAAAAACATAGGAACGGTCAGACCAAAGGGCCATCCAGTCCAGTGTCCGGTCTGCCCACAGTGGCCAATGCCAGGTGCCCCAGAGGGAGGGAACAGAACAGGGAATCGTCCAGTGATCCCTCCCCTGTCGCCCATTCCCAGCCTCTGACAAACAGAGACTAGGGACATCATCCCTGCCCATCCTGGCTAATCGCCATGGATGGACCGAACCTCCATGAATGTATCTAGTTCTTTTTTGAACCCTGTTAAAGTCCTGGTCTTCACAACATCCTCTGGCAGGGAGTTCCACAGGTTGACAGTGCGCGTGTGAAGAAAAACTTCCTTTTGTTTGTTTTAAACCTGATACCTATTCATTTCATTCGGTGATCCCTCGTTCTTGTTATGGGAACAAGTCAATAACTTTTCCTTATTTTACTTTCTCCATACATGTCTTGATTTTATACACCTCTATCCTATCCCCCCTTAGGATACGTCTACACTGCAACGCTATTTCGGGATACTGCAGAATCCCGAAATAGCTATCCCGTGTCTCCACAGCAAGCCTGTCATTTTGGGCTCGCTATTCCGACATTCCCGTAACCCTCATTCCACGAGGAGTAAGGGACGTTTTGGAAGAGCGCTTTATGTGGAGATTTGGCGCGGGGTGAACCGCGCCAAATGACGAAATAAGCTGTTTCGAAGTAGCATCGCAATAAGATCTGCAATGTGCGCCGCTCAAAGGGCGCTTCTTATTTCGAGTTATGGTGCAGTGTAGACGCGCCCTGAGTCTCCTCTTTTCGGCGCTGAACAGTCCCTGTCTTTTTAATCTTTCTTCCGATGGGACCTGGTCCAAACCCCTAACGCCATTGCAATCTACAGCCACTAGGGGGCGCCAGGTGCCACACCCCTTCCTTTAGCTTAGCAGCTGGTACCCGCTGGGCCCCCCCCAGCAGCTCCATCAAGGGCTGGCAGAGAGATCTCAGCTCTTGTACCTGCCCAGGACGGACGCGCTGTCGGGAGCCGCAGCCCTGCCGCTGCCAGGGAGGCAGGCACACAGGACCCCCCCCTTTACTGTGGCATGCAGCTGGGGGCCGCGAGAGCAGTGGGTCCTTGGGCACAGCCAGATGCCGAATGGCCCCAGGGATATGACACAGGCTGGCTGGGGCGCCAGTGACGACGGGTAGGCCAAAGCAGCCGGGCATGGGTCTGTCGGACCCAGCGTGGGCAGACGGGCGTGCAAGGAAGGGCCCTGCCGGGGCCCGGGGAGTCTGGGCACCTGTTTTCAGCACCAGGAGGTGCAGGGCGTCGTCGCGCAGGTAGGAGGCGGCGGCGATCTCGTGGGTGGGGATGCGCAGGATGAGCTCCTCGTTGTCCCGCCAGGTGAGGAGCAGGCAGCGGGCCGACAGGCTCAGGATGCTGACCTGCTCCGGGG